ATTAGCCTCTGTTGAATCTTCGGGGAAGATATTCAGAAAAGGGGTTTGGTTTTATGCAGAGCTAGGGTGGGAATTCCAGGGCTTTGTGCATGCTGAACACGCATTCCACTGACTGAACTATATCCCAGTCCTCTTCCTTCCTTCCTTCCTTCCTTCCTTCCTTCCTTCCTTCCTTCATTCCTTCTTTCTTTCTTTCTTTCTTTCTTTCTTTCTTTCTTTCTTTCTTTCTTTCTTTCTTTCTCTACCACTGTGCTACCCTGCCCTTTACTTTCATTTTGAGACAAGGTCTTGCTAAGTTGCCCCAGCTAACTTTAATTGCAACTCTACAGCCAGGCAGACTGTGCTTGTGATCCTCTTGCCTCAGTCTCCTTAGAAGCTGAAAAATATAGGCCTGCACAGCACAAGTTTCCTTAATATTTCCTCTCTATGGAGGCTGTACCCAAACATAGTCCAGGTAAGAGACACTGAGGGGCCAAACTCTCTCTGCCAGTGGCCATGGAATATATGTCTTGTAAGGAGCAATTGGATTTAAGATGTTCTTGTTTATTTCATTTTTGAGGCTAAGTCCTCCACCTGCTCAGCACTGGGGTTTCAGATCTGTTCCACCAAACCTGGCTCATCACCTGCAACAACCTGTGAGTTTCTTTTCATGACGCAGAACACTTTAATTTTCTAAACATCAGTTGGAAAACAAGGCTATCTTGTGAAACAAAGGGTCTGATAGTTGCGGCTTGCAAGGTGCTCATAGCACACACAGGTGGGCTGTCTTGGTTTTCTACTCCAGAGAAGGCCGGCGCTTCTGTCAGGGCATAGGCTTACATATGAACTCATGAGGCACCTGGCTTGTTGGTCTCAAAGAGAACATGCTCCTTGGGTTGGTCTTGTAGGCCCACATCGGGACTGAAACATCACTGGCTCCAGGCAGAGGCAACCAGGGTCTCTCCCTCGACTTCCTACTTACTAAGGCTGCTTTTCGTTTTTTTCTGGTTACCCAAAACACCTTCAGCGCTCCAGGGCTTTCTTGGTAGTCATGTCCTAGAGCTCCACCAGCTGCCACAGCGTCTGCACAGTGGAGTGGAAAAAGCCAAGGCCCAGCACTCCACACACACACACACACATACACACACACACACCACACACACACCTGCGCGTGCATACACACAGACACACATGCACGCGCGCGCACACACACACCATGTGTGGGAGGTGTTGTGCAGAGCCACTGGCAGAACATCCAGGATTTCCCACCTGTCTCCCTCCAGGTGGGTCACCCAGATGGGCAGTTCGAGCCATGTGGTGTCCAGGGCAGTCTCGTACCGCTCCTTGAAGCATTCCGCCACGGCCTTCAAAGGGCCCAGCATCAAACGCCAGTTTTACTCCTAAAATATAATTTCTTGAGTTTTTTCCCTCATTTTGCAGATGAGGACACTGGGGCACAGATGGGTGTCAATAACTCGCCTGAGGCCACTTACCTGGGTGTGCATTTTCAGAGTTCGCTCTCCTTGTGTCCATAGACACTGTGACCAGAGCAGGTTTGCAGTAAACAGCTCCATTCGAGATAATAACTTGCTTCTTTGTTTTTCTTCTCCAGGGTTGGGGATTGAACCCCTGCCCAGCACATGCTAGGCAAGCACTCTGTGCTAAGCTGCACCCCACTCCTAGAGAACAGCTGTTAAACGCTGTTAAAGGATTGACATTTGGAGACAAGAATATGGGCTTGAATAGGTCAGCCACTGAGAGTTACCACAGGCTGGCCTGGAACTTTCTGTGTAGCTAGTGATGACTGAAAATGCCTGGCCCTCCAACCTTCCAGTACTGGGATGACAGGCCCCGTGTCAGGTTTACGGGATGTTGGACGGATCAGAGAGCCTTGTGCATGTGAGGCAAGCCTGGTACCAACTGAGCTGCATCTCTAGCACCAGAGAGTCATGTTTTTATCAGGAGATCGCTGGACTAGAGAACCTTGCTGCCCTGTCTCCATGTTCCCTCATTTTAGTGAGTAGTGCCATCTGCTGCTCAGTCTGTCCTGGACTGGGCAGCTGCAGAGGACTGTTTCCTTTTGTCTACTGCCTTGGCCACTACATCCAGTGTTTGCTATGTACTGCCTAGTCTCAATCCTCCTGTCTCTGCCTCTTAAGTGCTGGGATTACTGGAGCGAGCTGCCATGCTGATTCAAAGTCACCCGATGCCACTACCTCCTCCTTCTGGTTTGCTCTGTTTCTCAAAGTTCATGTTTTAAAGATGTCCTCTCTGATGCAGCAGGGTTAGGAGGTGGAGTCCTGACAGATGAATGGAGCAGGCTGGCGCTGTAGGGCACATGCCTAGTACTTACAATGCCCAGCGTTTGATGCCTTGAATTATTTTTTTTAAAAAACATGGCAAGATGAGTTGGAGAGATGGCTCAGAGGTTAAGAGCACTGACAGTTCTTCCAGAGGTCCTGAGTTCAATTCCCAGCAACCACATGGTGGCTCACAACCATCTGTACTGAGATCTGGTGCCCTCTTCTAGGCCTGCAGGGATAGATGCAGACAGAACACTGTATATACATAATTAATAAATAAATCTTTTTCAAAATTCTTTTAAAAAGGTGACTAGACTTTGTTTTCATGAATAGATTAGTGACCTATTGTAGGAGTGGGCTCCTCTGTCCCTCTGCTCTTGCCCCCCTCCCCCACACCTTCTAACTTCCTTCCCTTCCACTTTCCATTCCACCAAAGAATGAGGAAGGCCTTCGTTCCTTATAGTGATCCTCCTGCCTCGGCTTCTTGAGTGCTGGGATTATAGGAACGTGCCTTAGGGACTTTAGAATTCCCAGCCTCCAGAGTTGTAAGAGAGAAACTTCTGTTCGTCCTAAAGTCTCAGGTGTTCTGGTGTAGCAGCACAAAAGACAACATCCTTACCCGTTTCTCCTTAGTCTGCGCCTCCATCACCAACCCATTCCCTCCAAACAACTCCAAGTCACCTTTCAACCCCCAGACGTAGGCATGTAATACCATACATGAGACTATCTGCCCCACTACAGAGGCAGAGATTACCAGCTGAGTGTGGCATAGCAAGGCTCCCCATGCTCCACACCATCTAACCCCCTAGTTCTGGGGATCAAATCCAGAGCCTGATACATGTTAGGTGGCTTAGTTAGGGTTACCATTGCTGTGATGAAACACTGTGACCAAAAGCAAGTTGGGGAGGAAAGTGTTTGTTTGTTTCATTCACAGTTCCCTATTCCACAATTCATCAAGCATTGAGGGCAGGAGCTGATGCAGAGGCCATGGAGGAGGACTGCTTGCTGGCTTGCTCCTCATGGCTTGCTCAGCCTGCTTTCTTATAGAGCCCAGGACCACCAGCCCAGGGATGGCACCACCCACAGTGGGCAAGGCCTCCCCCATCAATCACTGATTAAGAAAATGCCCTTGCACACAGCCCACCTTTATGGAGGCATTTTCTCACTTGAGGCTCCCTCCTCTCTGATGACTCTAGCTTGTGTCAAGCTGGCATAAAACTAGACAGAACACTAGGCAAGCACTCTTCCACTTGCTACATGCTAGTCCTAGGAAGCAGCTGTTAGCATCTGCCTTCCTCCCACAAAATCTGAGATGTAAGTATCCAACTCTCCCCATCATTTCTTTAACGGGCCAAATACACAGGCGAGGCAAGCTACCCACTGCGCTTATAAGTAAACTTCCCTTCATTACCTGGCCGTTCCTCTCATCCTTCAAAACCAAGGTCAAATAGTACCCCCACCTCCACACTCTTTTAAGGTGGGTACTATCTCTCCTGGGTTTCTTCCTCCTCTTTTTTTTTCCCCTTCTTTTTGCCAGGCAGGGTCTCACATAACCCAGGCTGGCTTCAAACTCACAGTGATCCTCCTGCCTCGACAAGAATTCTCGAGTGCTGGGATTATAGGAAAGTGCCACCATGTCCTGAATAATTTCTTTAGTAAATATTTGCCATTTGTTTTTTTTTTCCTTTGCTCTTTGTAGGAAAAATCCATTTACCTCAAAATAAAAGGAAATACCATCGAATGAAGGCATATATGATTGTTAAAACTAAATTTCTATACTTCTGATGACTATGTACATAGTGTCTTTATAACAGCCAAGAAAGAATTCCCTCAGCATCTTGGTGCCCACTCTGACTTTTTTTGTCGCGTTAAGTTGCTCAGGCTGGCCTTGAACTGGTAGGCTCAAGTGATCTCCTTCCTTAGCCTCCTGGGTAGCCGCAGAGTAACTTCGACTGCTGGCAGGCAGGCGTGACCTAGCCTGGATTGGCTTTGCCTTTTCATGTGGCTAGTTTTTCTAGCTGGCAATATGAAGACGGTCTGAAAGGTTCGCGCTCCTCTTAGACTCCTTTTCATCTGCTACAGTCGTTTATCATTTGCCATCTGTGGCTAGAGTGCCTACCTATCCCCCACCCCCATTTAATCCTAATTACACGTTGTAAGGGATGAGAAAAACACAGCTCAGAGAGCTGCAGGACTTGTCTGACCTGGTCCTCCACCCTCCTTCCACCCCTGCTTTATCTGCTTTTGAACCCTGATGGCCTTTGCATTGAATTAATGATCAATACACCGTGATTAGAAGGTCTGGGAGCTATAGCTCAGGGGCAGAGCCTTTGCCTGGCTTTAGGCAAGGCTATGGGTTTGCACCACCAGCACCACAAAGGTGTGAGGTTCTAAGTTCTATTTCAGCATTACAAAGAAAGGGAGGGACGGAGGGAGGGCAGGAAAAGGGGAGGGAAGGAGAGAGGGAGGAACCTAGTGTTTAGTTTTGACACCTTCTAGACTGCCAGTGCTCTAAAGGCTACTGACTTTTCTTCCTCTTTTGGCTTTTCTCTTTCTGTCTTTTTAAGATTTATTTATTATATATACAATGTTCTACCTGCATGTATGCTTGCATGCCAGAAGAGGGCACCAGATCTCATTATAGATGGCTGNATAGGTGCAGGTAGGTGTGTGTGTGTGTGTGTGTGTGTGTGTGTGTGTGTGTGTGCCAGAGGACAACCTTGGGTGTCATTCCTCAGGGGCTCTCATTGGCTTGGAGCTTACCCAAGTAGGTTAGGCTGGCTGGCTGAGCCCCAGGGATCCACCTGTCTCTGCTTCACCAGTGCACCTCCATACCTGCCCTTTAAAACGTATGTTCTGGGGGTTGGACTCTGGTCCTTATGCTTTCAAGAAAGCACTTTACTGACCAAGCCATCTCTCCAGTTCAGAAGTCACACTTTTACTTCTATCCCCTTCAAATAACCTGAAGATTGCAGGGTCAGGAGCTCAGATCCATGCAGCCCCAAGCCCACACAGCACACTGCCTCCTTTTCCCTGAAGCACACAGACGTGGCTTAGTGCCCAGCATGGTGACTGATGCTCCGACTCACAGCCCCCTTCTCACCCTTTGCCAGCCCTGGCTTTCAGCCCTGCTCTGCTCTGATTACCTCACCTCCCTCTCGCCCTCTGTAGGTGCCTGTGGAAGGCAGTACCTGGAACCCACAGGAACAATTGACATGCGAGGTCAAGGGCAGGTAGACTGTGTGGTGGCCATTGGGCGGCCTCTGGGTGAAGTGGTGACCGTCCAAATCCTCGAGAGCACCCTCAAGTGTAGTGCAGGTACATCCAGAGGCAGGCGGGCAACAGCTGGGCTTGGGGGCCTGTGGCACAATTCCAGTGTATCCCGTTTTTGGCAGGATGTTCCTGTTTGGCATTTTTAAGGCTGTCTCGTGACTGGCGCGTGGGGATGTCCCTTTATAAGACAGGGAACTGGGGGGATGAGAGCTTTGCTGATATGGCCCCTATGTAGTCATATTAGGCAGAAGAGAGAGGGTGGTTGTTTGAACTCAGCCCTGAGACACTGTTGCTGACTTGAGTGGGGTGCTGGTTTCTCACTCTCCTGCCCTTTCTAGGGGAGCTGTTGCTGCTTTGGGGTAGGTTCACATGGAGGAAGATATGCTGGAAGATGTCTGGCATGACTTTCAGCACCAAAACCAACACATTGGTGGTGAGGCAGCATCGTGTGCAGCCAGGACGGGGAGTGCTGCTACGGTATTGGAGCCAACCTGCCCCAGGGACCTTCTACAGAGGTACGCCAGGCGCCTGGGACTCCCCATATTCTCACTGGGGAGCTGGGGAGCTAGGCCTAGGTTGCTGTGGGCAGGGCATTTTCTTTCTTTTCTTTTAAAAAAAAGGTTTATTTGTTTATTATATATACAATGTTCTACCTGCATGTATGCTTGCATGCCAGAAGAGGGCACCAGATCTCATTATAGATGGCTGTGAGCCACCATGTGCTTGCTGGGAATTGAACTCAGGACCTTTGGGGGAGCAGCCAGTGCTCTTAACCTCTGAGCCATCTCTGGCTTTTCGTTCCATGGCACAAAAGGAAACACAGGTGTGGTGAGACAAGACTTTTAAGACTGAGGGAGTATAGTCATTTCTTTCTCTGCTCTTGGATCTATCCAGCTGTCAGCAGCCTTATACTCCCACTGCCATCCTTTCCAGCCATGATGACTGTATCCTCTTTAACTGTGAGCCAAAATAAATACCTCATCAACAAAAGGGAACATGGTTCAGTAAGATTTTGATGTGGTGGCCTCCTAAATTCTATCCCCCAAAACATGTGGTTCTTAAAAATTCTCACAATTTTAAGTCCAGTGCTGGGGAGGCAAAAAAACAGATAAATCCCCGTGGCTTACAGGCCAGCCCCACCCCAGTTCTACTTGGTAGGGGCTCAGGCAAGTAACAGACTCTGTCTCAAAAAGCAAAGCAATACAGAACCCATTTTATTTGCAGCATCAAAGCAAACTTTACCAGCTCCCACATCACCTTTCTGAGCACGTTCATCCACAGGCTTTGTATATAATACGCTCAGGGATGAAAAGAAGAACAAAATGAAGACATGAGAAATGACCATGGGGGGAACTATAGCCTGGAGCAGTCCTTGGGTTTATAAGTGGGTAAGTCAAGATGCACAGGTCCACAATGGTCCAGGGACCAGGAGGATGAACCGCAGCAGGCAAAGGTAGATTATTATTTGTTTGTTTTGAGACAGGGGCTCATATGTCCCAGGTTGGCCTAAACTTCCTATATAGTCAAGGATGAACTTGAACTCCTAATCATCCTGCATCCACCTCCTGAGTGCTGGGATTAGAAATGTGTCCACCAAAACCTTGCATGCAGGGATGGGTTCGTGTGTGCTAGACAAGAACTCTACCAGCTGAGTTACCACTGGTCCTATTATTTAGCAGTTAATGAAACTATACACATAATTCTTACTTTATTAACTTGGGCTGATGTCCTCCAACCTGCAGGGGCTTCTGTGCGGGGATGACCAGGTACAGTGGCTACTAGATCAGATGTTGTTGCCAAGTATCCTCCTTAAATACCCAAGAGTGGAGGGGACAGGGACAGATGCATTTGTGCAGACAGCAAGGAGCCACCAAAACACGTTCTTTTCCATCCTCCCTTGCCATCTAGCTAAGCATCCTCCCCTGATCAGACGCTGTAAATCTCGGTTTCCAACCTGAAGGCTTTAGTTGATGTGGAGGATGGGGATGAGGGGGCGATGAAGAAAGAAATGAAGAAAGGAAGAAGAAAGAAAGAAAGAAAGAAAGAAAGAAAGAAAGAAAGAAAGAAAGAAAGAAAGAAAGAGAAAGAGAAAGCCCCGTCCGTGCAAGAGGACCTTTGTCCATGCTGTCTCCTTCCCTCTCCCCTCATGATTGGAAATCATCCCCAGCCACAAAGCATATTCCTGGCTGGATTTGTGACCTCCAACCCACTTTCCTGCAAGAGGCAAAACTTTGAGAAAAACAAGAGGGCTGATGGCATGTGTTGAACTTTCAAATGCTAAATGACGGTGAAAATTTTTTTGGAAGAGAAACTATCTTTGAAATTGTGCTACCCAGTAGAGTTAATGCAGCCCATATGTCCCCTACTAAGAGTTAGAAAAACAAACTAAAAACAATACTTTCACGCCTGCCAGGCTGAAATGCGATCTACTGCTTAATATTCACTTAACCCAGAGCCAAATACTTTAAAATGGTAATGATTCCAAAGGGCAGCCTGGACTCGGCGCATAAACAACAGACCTTAAAATTTATGTTCCACTCCTAGCTCTGGGCAAGTCACCTAATCTCCTAGTTGCTTCTCAATTTTCTCAGCTCTGAAATGGGGGTATCGGTACTTTGGAGGTGTTTATGAGCCACACCAAAGTGACTGTAAAGCACTTTACAAATGCTTAATAACTGTGGCTCTTTTCATAGCATGGCTTTATGACATCTTTTATTATTCATCCAGTGGCATCGAAGTAAATGACGACAACGCAGACGAGTGTGGTGGACATTTATATTCAGAGCTGGCTGCAGAAGGTGCCCGCCACCCTCTCTTGCACCTGGCAGAGACTCAAGGAAGGCGGAGGGGGTGAGAAGGAAACTTAGAGTGAAGAGAGACTGCTTTGGATCCGTTAAGATCTGAGGTCATTGGAGCAGGGGCGGTGGAGGCAGGCTACCAAGAAATGCAGTGTCTTAAGCAATTGGCTTGGGAGTTGTATTTGGCTTTCTCTGGCTGGTCCTGTGTTGGAAAGAGAATGGGTTTCTGGGTAGAAGTTAATTACTCTCTGCAGAGGTTGTGGGTCAGAGTTTACTGGCCACACTTGGTCTAGTCCATTGTTTTCGGTCTCCCTGTGGGGAATTAAAAGAGGAAATGCTTCGTTTACCTCCAAGGGACAAGGGCAGACACTTGCCTGGTAGCCAGGAGTAACTTGTACTTTTGATACCATATAAACCATTTTTTTGTCTTTGTTTGTTTGTTTCTTTTTCCCCAGGTGTGGTAGCACACACGTTTTTAATCCTAGTACTTGAGAAGGTAAAGCAGGCAGATCTCTGTGAGATTGAGGCCAGCCGTGTGGGAGCTGGGAATGCCCACCATGAATCGGAGTGGCCCCATTCCCTAGGCTTCGATCCAGGACTGTGTAAAAGTGGAAAAAGCAGGCTGAGTGCATCTATTCTCCCTCTGCTCTCAGTGAGATGTGACTAGCTGTTTCAAGTTCTTGCCTCCTTGACTGAAATGATGAACTGTAACGTGGGATTGTGAGCTTCAAGGATATATCTGTTATCAGCGCAATCATCCAGCTCTGAGTTAGACTTGCTTGGGACTAAAGATACTGATTAAAGCCTGAGCTTGGCCCTTATAGGTGCTGAGGACCTGAACTTAGGTCCTTATACTCAGATGCAGGCACTTTGCTGACTGGACCATCTTCCCAGCTCCATGTAAACACTCCCAAAGGGAGGAAATGTAAACCAGACCTGGTGGGCACTGGTTTATAATCCCAGCAGCTTGGGTGATTGAACAATGGGAAGCTCAAAGCCTGCCTGACCTACTGAGAAAGTTTGAGGTCATCTTAGGATACTTAATGAGAGTCTTTCTCAAAATAAAAAATATTAGCTGGGCAATGGTGGCACATACCTCTAATCCTTAGCACTTGGGAGGCAGAGGCAACGGATCTCTGAGTTCGAGACCACCCTGGTCTACAGGTTTCAGGACAGTCAAGACTACCCAGGAAAAACAAAACAACAACATTAAAGGATCGAGGGTGCAGCTCAGTGGTAGAGTACTTGTCAAGCACACACAAGCCCTAGGTTCAATCCCCAGTATCACAAGAAAGAAAGACAGGAAGGAAGGAAGGAAGGAAGGAAGGAAGGAAGGAAGGAAGGAAGGAAGGAAGGAAGGAAGGAAGCTGGGCAGTGGTGGCCACATTTTTAATTCCAGCAGAGGCAGGTGAGTCTCTGAGTTCAAGGACGTGAAAGGCAAGCACCTCACCATCCTTATTCTGTATTCAAATTTATTTGTTTATATATTTTTAACAGTTATTATCTATGTTTTAAGACCCTTCCTATTAAACAGAATGCCATGTTATGCCTACAGTGCCTTCACACCATCTTCTGATCTCCATCAGTTTTACAATTAAAAATATCAATTTTTAAAATTGTGGGGAGGTGTGTGCTCATGAGTACAGTGGCTGCAGAGCTATGGAGGCCAAAGGACACGAGATCCTCTGGAGCACCATTAAATGCTTTCTTTCAGAAGTGGCCTTGGTCAGAGTCTCTTGTCACAGCAACAGAAATGCAACTAAGACGGGAAAGCAAGGAGATGAGAGATGGAGTAACCAAAACTAAGGATGAGCATAAGTATGAGCAAGCCTTATGTAGACACACTACATTATAAGCTAATAAAAAATAGAATTAAAAAAAGGACTTTGAACACAGGTACCTGACATGGATAGACAATGCTACCCCAGAAGACATGGTTTAATAAATAGATTCCACGCATGGGCTCTCTTCCTAGGAGTTATTGCTTAGGGAAACAGCATTTTCTCATGATTTTTGGTTGCCCACCATAACTAGATGGTAGGACCATATTGCTGAAGGCACCACACACTTCCTTTATAGAACATAGATACATCAAGTTGGAGCTGACCGGAGAATTTATTCCTGGCTGCCTAGCTTTCATAGAAACAAGGGTGATGTGCAGGCCCCTGGGGAAGAGAAAGACTCGGTGGTCCTACCCATTGGGTCATGCATGCTACCATACCAACTTGTCATCCAGATATAGCTGTTGGTGGGGCTAACAACTGCATTCTGATTGGGTCTGAGGCCCATTCCACAGGAGGAATGCCTAGTATCATAGCCCCTGACCCAAAGCCCATGGCTTAGGAGCACATAGCCTCTGTGGGAGAAGCTTCAGCTGCAGTGCTGAGCCTTAAGTGGCAGGTGTACCAATTGCACCATGACTTGAGGAACATTGTGTAAGAACCAGAGGACGGGGAGGAGTGCTGTGAGGTGTTACCTTCCAGACACAACTGTGACACTCCTGAGCTCACAACAGCTGTGGTCACCCACTAAGGCCAATGCAACCAGGTAAAGTCAACATTCCAGTGGGCAACTCGGACTGAACTCAGTGGGTTACTGAGAAAAAAAGGAGAGAACAGTAGAATGGGAGGCGGATATGTTGGGGTGTGCCTGAGGGAGACCAGAAAGAGAGATTTGGGGTAGATATGGTCAAGATGTGTTGTATATATCATGAAATTGCAAAAGAATACATTTGAAATATTGTTAAAAGTAAGGCTAAAAGGCCGGGTGTGGTGGGGGTGCACCTCTAATCCCAGTATTTGGGAGGCAGAGGAAGGCATTCTCTGTGAGTTTGAAGCCAGATTGGTGTATGTAATGAGTTCTAGGTCAGCCAGGGCTACACAGTGAGACTTTGTCTTAATCAATCAATCAATCAACCAACCAATCAATCAAAAACAAGGGATAGGGGAGGCAGCACACACAAATCCTTAGTTTTGGTCTTCAGTACCTCATGATGGTTCACATCTGTGATTCCCACACCCAGAAGACAGAGACAAATTAAAGCAAAACTCTGCTATCTGCAGGATAGTCCATGCCTGTGTTAGGGTTCATGGGTGGAAGTGTTTCTAGAGCAAAGTAACCTGGAGGAGTGCCAGGTTACGAGTGTGCCAGACGGTTGTCACGTTGCCCCTCGGGTGCACTTTCTTTTCCTCTGGACTCCGTGCCCCATGAGCTGCCCTTTACGGGCTGCACGGATGACTTCCTTTCCCCTCTGGCTTCTTGTTCAGCTCAGCTCACAGGACTTGCCAGCAAGAGAGCAGAGAAGAGAGAATGTGAGCCTGCTGATTATTCTCCTGGCTTCTACTGGGTTTGGCTTCTGTGGCTTGGCAATCTTCCTCCAGTGGCTGACCCTACACCCCTCCTGCTTGGGGGTGTAAGGTTTTAGTAACCCTTCAGTCCTTCAGGTCAATGAGTAGCAGTGAAACTCCCCACCACCCCTATATACTCACTCATGGTTTTTGTTATTGCTTTTTACCCTTATGGAGATGGAGCCCAGAGTTAGGTCTTTCCTCCCATTGTGTGGGTCCCCAGATCAAACATAGGTTGTCAGTCTTGGTGGCAAGGACAGTACCTTTAGTGGGGAAACCATCTCGTCAGCCCACACACCTGATGTTTTAGGATTCGGAGAGCAGTGTTGAATTTGGTGTTGGTCTATTTCTTTTGTTACTGTTTTAGGCAGGATCTGCCTGTGTAGACATTGGCCATGACCATGGCTTCTTCCTGTGTTTGCTTCCCCAGCGCTGTGATTACAGGTGCGTTTCTCCACACCTGGCTCCATTAGCATTGTTTAAATGACAAGACTAGCAATTGAACCTAGGACTTCACACATTCTAGGCAAGCACTGAACCATATCCTGAACCCTCCTTAAAAAAAAAATACGTTTTTGTTTTGTTTGAAACAGGTTTGCATGTAGCCCAGGCTGGCTTAGAAACTGCCATATAGCCAAGGATGAGTTTGAGCTCCTGATTCTCCTCTCTCCATGTCCCAAGTGCAAACTGAACCAAGTGTGGCAGCACAGTCTTTCTACTTCAGCCTCCTGAGTAACTGTGATTACGGCTTGCACACTTGCTTCAATTAGCATTTTTAGCAAAGCAATAAATGAACTTCCCGCCTGAAATCCTTACCCCAGCTCTCAATGGATGGGATTTCCCCTTTCCATGAATGTTTTATTTATTTACTTACATACTTTTTAAAAAGAAAGATGTACTATTTTGTGTGTGTGTGTGTGTGTTATAAGGATGCGGGTGCCCGTGGATAACAGATGAGTAATCAGAATGCCTGGAGCTGGAGTTACAGGCAGTTGTGAACCCCTGCTGTGCATCCTGGGACCCTGAGTCAAGTCCTCTGAAAGACGAGGATCTGCCTTAATCACTGTGCCATCTCTAGACTGGCCGTCTTTCTCTTGTGGCAACCACATCTCGCTAAAAGGCCCTGAGTTTAGGGAAGCATACATTTTGATAGCAAAGGAATTAAGGCCTCTTAGTTTACTGGAAATTTCCAGTTTTCACTAAAATATAAGACTCACACTCTTCATTAGCAAAGAAATTCTCAGTAGAGGAAACCACAGTGATATCCAGCCGCATTGTTACCGGGATCAAGGGACTTCTATTCCCCACCCACTCCTCCATGAAAATCAGGTTCCTTTTCGGACTTTGAAGTGAGTGTTAACATCTGCAGACATCCTAAGGGAAATTGGCACGAAGTACATCCATGTATGCTATTTTTAATTCCATGGGGAGGGGTGGGGGTAGCTAGGATAAATTAGGTTTCTCTGTATGAAACTTGGAATAGAAATACTTTTCAGAAGTCTGCTTAAGCAAGAAGAAAAAAAAATTAAGGTTTTTCACAGGCACCACCAGCTCTGTATAGCTTACGATCAGGCCATAATGATAAAAGTTCTCTCTCTTTTCTTTTTTCTGTGTGTGTGTGTGTGTGTGTGTGTGTGTGTGTGTGTTTTCCTCAAGACGGGGTTTCTCTGTGTTGCCATGGCTGTCCTAGAACTCACTCTGTAGACCAG